TGGCAGCAGGGAGCTGGTTTTTAACTGGCTTCCCTCGTGGACCAGCTCCTGCCTGCCGCCCCGCACTGCTGCTTCTGAGAGAGAAGCTGGCTGCCAGCCCTGCCTCCAGGGACTATCAAATAGTCGTGTCACCGCTAAGGTTTGATGCAGTTACCCGACTATTCAATTGCACGATTCCTAACATCCCTGCTATTAATATTGATTCATGTTGAAGCTCAATTCATTTAGGGCTCTTCTCCCATATCTCTTTAAATGTTTAACCTAGTCTTTGGCATGTATAGAGAGCAGAGTCAGCAAATTCATTCTCCCACCTTCAGAAAGAAAGAAAAAGAAAAAAGTCAAATGTATGACTTGTAACATTACTTCAGATCTACCCAGACTGGCACAGAGCACAGAAATGGCAGCATTACAAATAAAGCTTTTATTTAATTTATTTTGGTTTCTGTAATTTTTCACCAAAAAAATTAGTTGTGTGAATAAGTAGTATGAATAATCTGCAGCTGAATACCATCAGACATAGTTTTTTCTTAACAGAGCCCAGAAGAAGTATTCATGGAAATCAGGAGACCTTTGGAATGGCACTGCAAACAGATGGATCATTTTGTTGGACTCAACTTTAACTCTAACTTTAATTTTGCACTAGTAGGGCATCTTCTAAAAGGTAAGAATAGAAAATTTGTCGTACTTGCTTTTCATGTCATATTGTAAGTTAGTTTAGAAGCATAATCAAGCCCATGAATGAACAAAGGGCAAAATCCTGGCCTTATTGAAGTCATTTGTAAAGTGCTCATTCACTTACAGTGTAAAATCCTGACTCCATTTATGGTGTGAACTGTCACCAGAAGTGTGACTTGCATTGTGTTCTTTTGAACTACTTGATGTCAAACTGCTTTCTCTTTAACCATTAGACTTAACTCCACTTCAGGTTTACTGCATATTTTAGAGGTGGTCATAATAGGACAGGAATTTAAATAAATATGTAGAATATCTACCTGCATGCTTGCAGTATTCTAATCTTTGGGAGGAGGTAGAAAATTGTTTTAGCGTATGTCCATTATTCGCTAATTTTGTGCTTGCTTATTTGGTATATTTGAAGGATTCTGAGAAAAATCTCACTGCAAATTATTGGTAAATGCATTATAAATAATAAATTATGTACTACAAACTAAATATTCAATACTTGATTTCTTCATAAATTTGTTCCCTAGGATACAGGCATCCCTCTCCTACCATCGCAGCAAGGACAGTAAGGATTTTACACACACTACTAGCTCTGGTTAACAAACATAGGAACTGTGACAAGTTTGAGGTGAATACCCAGAGTGTGGCTTACCTAGCAGGTAAAAAAGAACTTCTGCCTAACCAGAAGGAATGGGTGTAGAAATTCTTGACATGAGATTGATAAAATATTAAAAAGCTATTTAAATGAAACTTCGTCGTATATAGATGGGACTGTTCAGAAAAATAGTTGGAAGGGTTAAATCAGAGCTGTCCCGTCCATAAGATAGTTTGGGCAGCTTCTCCAGACCCCATTCTTTGGGGGAGCCCCTTGGAGGCCCAGGATGGAGATTAGCGTGTGGTTTGACACTGGCAGCAGGGGTCAGAGCTGCTTCTGCGCTTACCAGGACAGTGTGAGCAGCTGGAAGCAGACCACTCCAGCCCAGGCCTACTCAATTCTGCTTCACAGTGGCAGCAGGAAGCAGAGCACCTCAGCCTACTCCGCTTACCCAAGCAATGCAGCTGGGAGCTGGGATTTCGGGAGTGCAATGGGCTAGGGTTGGGTTGCTCCACTTCCCACCACTATGGTGAGTGCAAAAGGAGAGTTGAGCCCTGCTGCCAGAACCAGCCCCCTCGCTAATCCTCTGGACCATGTTGCATAGTGGTAAGGGTGCAATGAGGATGAGGTGGGAAGAAGGAAGTGAAGTAGGGGGGAGGGCAGGGCAGAGCCTGGGAGGTTAAGGGGTGGTGTCCCAGGCCCCACGCACCCAGGTGATGGTCCTGGATTGAATCAGTGAATGTTTATTATATGTCAAGGGAATGCTAACAGAGTTAGTAAATTCAGCAAGTAGGGTGCTTAGTGACTGACTGACGTTCAAAAATCTCCTGGGGGTGGAAGAGTTTTTAAAATGTAAATATTTCAATGTTTATGTTAAAATATAAACCAATTCAGAGTTGTAGCAGCCTAGCAAGAGTGAACAATGTGGTCATATGGAGAGGAAAATATTTAGATAAATAAAATTGTAATGGTAAACTTATCAGGGACTGTTATGAAAAATAATTCAGCTACTTGGGAAATTATTTCAAAATCTTCCTTGTCCCTTAATTGACATTAAGCATTTTAGTGAGAGAGAATTGGAGTTTCCAATGGATTTGTGTATGTCCAAAAAAAATTCATTGATTACTACATAGATGTCTGAAAATCTTACTGTCTTGGAAAACATGTTAGCTTTCTTTGGATTTTTAGCTTTGCTGACAGTGTCTGAGGAAGTTCGAAGTCGCTGCAGCCTAAAACATAGGAAGTCTCTCTTACTGACAGAGGTTTCAATGGAAAATGTTCCTATGGATACATATCCCATACATCACAGTGACACCAGCTGTAGGTCAGTGTTTCTTTGGCTTTATTTTAAACTTACAGTAGTTGTGTGAACCTCTTGATTATTTTGGGGATTATTACAGGGTACTGCATTTCACTGGTATTTTATAGATATTACATTAAACATTTTCAGCTGACACCTTTAACTAGTACATTATAATAAAGTTCAATTAGTTGGAGGGTTTATAACCAAATATGTGCAACTTTTGGCTTTTAAAAATTAAATTCCTCCACACTTTCAGGACACTAAAGGAAAACCAACCATGGTCCTCTCCAAAGGGGTCAGACAGACATCTTGCTGCCAGTTACCCCACAGTAGGACAGATTAGCCCACGAACACGAAAATCCATGAGCTTGGATATGGGACAGCCTTCACAAGCCAACACTAAAAAGCTATTAGGTAAGTAAAACTCTCAGTTTACTAATTTGGTACATCATTCTTTAAAAAGCCAAGGCAAATACAATGTTTTTGGGAGAGTATAACTTGTTTGACTTCTTTTAAACATGTTCCTATCATTTCCTCTCAGTACATACACAATTCTGGTGATAGGACAAGAAGCAATGGGCTTAAGTTGCAGCAAGGGAGGTTTAGGATGGACATCAAGAAAAACTTCCCAACCGTCAGGGTGGTTAAACACTGGAATAAATTGCCTAGGGAGGTTGTGGAATCACAGGAGATATTTAAGAGCTGGTTGATTAGACATCTATCAGGGATGATCTAGAGTTCTAGACAATGGTTGGTCCTGCTGTAAGTGTAGGGGACTGGACCTGATGACCTCTTGAGGTCCCTTCTAGTTCTAGTATTCTATGATTCTAACACTAATTTGACCAACCATCACAATTAACATCTCTCCAAACTAAGTCTCTTCTCTCTTACTTGCTTCCACTCACTGAAAAGGAAGTCGGGGGGGGGGGGAGGGGAGGTGGGGGGAAGAGAAGCTTTGCAGTAGTACATGATGGCCATTCCATTCAAGCAATACAGGGCCAAAAAGATACCATTTTGCAAAGTTAAAGCTCGCTTGCAGCCTCCAGCTCTCTCCACCAAAACCTACAGCAGAAATGGGGAATCTCAGGCCCAGAGGCTGGATGCAGCCCTGAGCTTGCCTGGATCTGGCTTCCGTGGCTCAGCATTGGGGAGCCTGTGCTGGCACTCCAGCCACCCAACTGCGGGGTTGGGTCACACCAAATCTACTAGCCTCGGCCCCCTTAGGATCTGGTGTGTGAGGGGAAAGTGGGGAATGTATTTCTCCTCAGTCAAGGGCTTCTCGCTTTGCTTCTCTCTTGTTTGTGGCCCCCAACTGATTTTTCTGTGGGTCAGCAGTCCCCAGCCTAAAAAAATTTCCCCACCCTTGACCTAGAGGACTAACCTGACCACCTCTGCTGATCTCAATGCCTGGGGTTAACACCAGACACCGGTTAGAGTCCCAGACCATGTAGAGTTTTTGGCAGTTGTTTCTTTTTTTTTTTTTTATTGAAGTACTGAAATATATAACAATTTCACTGTCTTTGAAAAGAAATGGGAAAAAAAAGCAGTTTTCAGTCTTGGTGACTTTAGTCACATCCTTGTAAATTTCATAAGGAATTCTTTTAGAATTTCCTTGGAAAAAAGGCAACTCTTCGGGACATAATTAAAATTTGTACAAAGATGAAAACCAATTTTTCTTAATCGCCAGCTACATGTTAACTGACAGCTCCTTAACTTATTAGGTATATGGATGAAGGACTCTGAACGGCACAGGAACAAACAAAAATGATAGGACTTTCCTAGCCTATTGCATCAGTCCTCTTCTGTTACATAACTTACAAGTTACTCTACTATTCAACAAAAGGTGCCTCTTAATTTCCTTAGAGGGTAAAACTGGAGTAGTTGAGTAGGGCTTGCTTAGTGGTAATTGCAAGACAAATCAAGTCTTGAAGATTGAGGAATTGACTCTGTATAGCCACAGAACAAGTCTAGTACATGTGATGGTTGTAGAAGCTTCCTACACTACATTGCCAAACTGTGCTTCAACCATGCTCTAGAGCAGGGGCGGGCAATAATTTTTGATGGGAAAGCTACTTTTGGAAAGTGGTTGAGGACCACACTCTTCCATGATATTAATGGAGGAGATGCGGGGTCTGGGATGGAGGTTGGGTGCTGATGGGAGCTTGGGGAAAGGGGCTGGGGTGCAGGAAGGAGACTGGAGTCTGGTAGTGAGTTGGGATGAAGCAGGCAGTTGTGCCCTAGGGCAGGGGATTGGAGTGAAAGGGTTTGGGATGTGACCTAGTGTAGGAGGGGATTGTGATCTCGGGCAGGGGATTGGGGTGCCAGATCTGGGAGGGGCTATGGGTGCCAGAGGGGGACAGAGGGTTTTGGTATGTTGAGTGAGGGGGGCAGAGAGTTGGGGTAGGAAAGGGCTGAGGTGCCAGAAGCAGGCTGTGGCCAAGAGACTTACTTGCCAGCTGCCAAACTAGCTTGCCTGCCTGCAGACTTAAAATGTTTGCCTGCCTGCCTGCCCATGTGCTTCATCGTAACTGAGCTGAGGAGGGGGGGTGTGGTTCTTCCTGACTGCCTGTTCCTTCAACAAGCAGCTCACATTGGCTAGTTTCTGCCAATGTGTTAACAAGAAGATGATCAGAGAGGGTGTGGAGCCCCTACTGGATGAAGGAGGTAAGCTAGTGACAGATGATGTGGGGAAAGCTGAAGTACTCAATGCTTTCTTTGCCTCTGTATTCATGGACGAGGTTGGTTCCCGGACTAATGTGCTAAGTGACGCAAGAAGGGATGAAGATCGACAGCTCTTGGTGGGTAAAGAACAGGTTAGGAACTATTTAGAAAAGCTAAACATACACAAGTCCATGGGTCCGGACTTAATGTATCCGAGGGTACTGAGGGAGTTGGCAAATGTCATGGAGGAGCCTTTGGCCATTATCTTTAAAAAGTTGGTGGAGATCGGGACAGATCCCGGATGATTGGAAAAAGGCAAATGTAATGCCCATCTTCAGAAAAAGGAAGAAGGACGATCCAGGGAACTATAGGCTGGAAAAATCACAGAAGGGATCCTTAAGGAATCCATTTTGAGGCACTTGGAAGAGAGGAAAGTGATTAGGAATAGTCAGCATGGATTCACAAAGGGCAAGTCGTGCCTGACCAATCTGATTAGCTTCTATGATGAGGTAACTGGCTCGGTGGACATGGGGAAGTCAGTGGATGTTATATACCTTGACTTTAGCAAGGCTTTTGATATGGTCTCCCACAATATTCTTGCCAGCAAGTTAAGGGAATGTGGATTGGATAAATGGACAGTAAGATGGATAGAAAGATGGCTAGAAGGCCGGGCCCAGCGGGTAGTGATCAACGGCTCTATGTCAGGATGGTGGTTGGTTTCTAGCGGAGTGCCCCAAAGTTTGGTTATAGGACCGATTTTGTTCAGTATCTTTATTAATTACCTGGATGAAGGGATAGATTGCACCCTCAGCAAGTTTGCAGATGACACTAAGCTAGGGGGAGAGGTAGATACGGTTGAGGGCAGAGAGAGGGTCCAGAGTGACTTAGACAAATTGGAGGATTGGGCCACAAGAAATCTGATGAGGTTCAACAAGGACAAGTGCAGAATCCTGCACTTCGGATGGAAGAGTCCCAAGCATTATTACAGACTGTGGACCAACCAGCTAAGTAGTAGTTCTGCAGAAAAGGACCTGGGGGTTACAGTGGATGAGAAGCTGGATATGAGTCAACAGTGTGCCCTTTTAGCCAAGAAGGCTAATGGCATATTACATTGCATTAAAAGGAGCATTGCCAGCAGATCCAGAGATGTCATTATTCCCCTTTATTCGGCTCTGGTGAGGCCACATCTGGAGTATTGTGTCCAGTTCTGGGCCCCACACTACAAAAAGGATGTGGATGCATTGAAGAGGACTCAGCAGAGGGCAACCAAAATGGTTAGGGGGCTGGAGCATATGACCTATGAGGAGCAGCTGAGGGAGTTGGGTCTGTTTAGTCTGCAGAAGCAAAGAGTGAGGAGGGATTTGATAGCAGCCTTCATCTTCCTGAAGGGAGCTTCCAAAGAGGATGGAGAAAGGCTGTTCTCAGTGGTGACAGATGTCAGAACAAGGAGCAGTGGTCTCAAGTTGTGGTGGGAGAGGTCCAGGTTGGATATTAGGGAAAAACTATTTCACTAGAAGAGTGGTGAAGCACTGGAATGGGTTACCTAGGGAAGTAATGGAATCTCCATCCCTAGAGGTGTTTAAGTCTCAGCTTGACAAAGCCCTGACCGGGTTGATTTAGTTGGGATTGGTCCTGCCTAGAGCAGGTGGCTGGTCTTGATGACCTACTGAGGTCTTTTCCAGCTCTGTGATTCTATAAGAATGTGCTGGGGGCAGGGACGGCTCCTAAACCTCCTCTCTCCCCTCCAGTTTTAAAACAGAAACGGAGCCCTGCAGCCACGTTTCTGCACGGTGTGCGGGGCTGCAGGTCAAGCTAGGGAGCCTGCTTGGGGCTCCCCACTGTCTTAGTGGGCAGGATCAGGTGGCTTGGTAGGCTGGATCCAGCCCACGCGCCGTATTTTACCCGGGCCTGCTCTAGAAGTTCTCAGGCCCAAGGGAAGAGAGGATAGCTTAGTGGCCATGGCCATTAAATCTTTGGTCTTCCTGTTGAACCTTATAATAAGGACTCCAGTTAGTACCAGTGGTTAAGCAGTTGGTGCAGACACATGACAACTGGAAACATAATGAGACCACAAAAATAATTTGATTAACGTACAGGCCACCAAGCAATCAGATAGTAACTGGAAGGTGCTATCAAGTGTTCGATTTAAATTGGGAACCTAGAAATCCATAACCTATTACCTAGCACTTGAGCAGTTCTTAGTTCTTACTCTTTCTAAATGTTGGGACTGTGTAAGGCCTCTGAGTGTTTAATGGCAGGTGATTCCCTAAGGGGCAGAATATCCCGAAGTTCATGATTTCATCTTGTCTGTAGGACGGAGAGTAAAGGAGAAGGACTGTGGCATAGCAGGTTAATACTCAGGTCAAGTGGGAGTGATGATTTCATAATATTGGATGGTATCTGCTATGTCCAAGCTTCCTGCCCTGGGCAGCTAGACAACTATCATGAGCTGCTGGCTTCTGTTTACTTCTCAAGGCTGGACAACAATGGCGTGGATAGTGTATAGGTTTATATTGCTTTTATAACTTTTCAGGGATTTGCACAATACTTATCCACATCTTGTTTACCTCGGCCCAGTGCTGTCTATCTTCTCACCTTTCATAAACACTAAAGTATGAACACAGAGAGGAGGAGAAGTGATTCTCTTGCTAGTAACAAGGCATTAGAATATTTACTAAATGTTAGACATTGTAGTGTCCTAGGAAATAGATTTCAGGAAATAGATTTCAGGAACGGAGCAGCACACACTAAGCATCTGAGCCTTAAATATTGACTTTTTAAAATTGGCTGCTGAACTCATGTATATTATTTAAAAAATGGTCTGGTAGCACTTTATAAGACTAACAAAACATGTAGATGGTATCATGAGCTTTCGTGGGCATGGGACATTACCAATTTAACAACCATTGAAGGTGCTAACAGCTCTCTGAGAAGTATCTTTCCTGACATGGGAATCTATCTGTTGACTTCGGATTTTTATCTGCTTAGGTTTAAGTACACATTCTCCAGATACTTACTGATGCTGTCTCCCACCTCCCTTCCTTACTCCCCCACCCTCAACTCCCCCCATTTATTTTGAGTGTTCACATCCCAAATTCATAACTCCGGTCATCTGAAGAAGTGGGCTGTGCCCATGAAATTTCATGATACCATCTACATGTTTTGTTAGTCTATAAAGTGCTACCACACCATTTGTTAGTTTTTTACAGAAAAAAAAAAAACAACTCGGCTACCCCCTGAAGCTGATGTATATTGTGTTAGCCAAGCATTTCCAAAGATGTGACCGTGATATCCCAGGTTCAAGTGTGACTTTATCTATAGCTAATGTATCCACAAATGCAAATTGTTGTAGAACACCAGCTGGACAAAGGCCTGTAGAGGTCCTACCCTTGTAGGGATGTGTGTCACTGTTCAACACAAAAGGTATGTGTCACAGAAGACCGTGAGACCACCCTCCCAGTGCTTTTGTCCCACATGTTCTGGGTAAGGTTGTACCTTCATAGCAAAAAAAATCAGTACCTTACAATTCAGATATACACAGAGTATTCACTGTGGTTTGATTTAATTTCTTGAGGGGGGGGTCTTTCTTTTTTTCCTTTTTTAGGTACAAGGAAAAGTTTTGACCATTTGATATCAGACACAAAGGCTCCTAAAAGGCAAGAAATGGAATCTGGGATTACCACACCTCCAAAAATGCGGAGAGTAGCTGAAAATGACTATGACATGGGTGAGAAGAAAGACAAAACAAGTTTTAACTATTCCTAGTAATAAATGCAGTGTTGTGCACATGAACAGGGGATGATTACTGAATTCAGTGTTCATTTATTTTGTCTATAACAAGGCAATTGATAGCATTTGTCGTAACAAAACAAGCCGTCTAGAAAGTCTCCAACCTTTTCTAACATTGGCAATTGAACCTTGAATCCCTACAGTTGAACAAAGTGAATATGGAGACCTAGAGTAAAAGGCAGCCAAAACTAAATATTGCATGGCTGAATTAAATCGAGTAAACCAAATTATACTCTTTATATATTTATCAGCACTGAATGCTGTGTGTTTTTACAAAGGAAGCAGTGACCTTATGGATAGAGCACTGGACTAGCACTGAGGAAGCTTGGGTTTTGTTTCTGGTTCTGCCACTGGTCTGCTGGGTGGCCTTGGCCAAGTCACTTCACTTCCCTTGACCTCAGTTTCCCCTTTCTGTGAAATGGGGTATTGATTTTTACCTCTTGATGAAAATATTGCAAAAGATGTTGTTGTTGGTATTATTTATTACAAACTTGCTTTTTATCATGTACAAGTCACTGTTTCATGGGAGTTGTAGGTGGCTGAATTTGATGGGATGGTATAAAATTCTTTGTTGTTTAATTCTTGTGCTCTGGCTGAGTAAGTCTCTCTTTCTGGCAGAAACCCAGAGAATATCGCCCCAACAACACCCACACCTTCGGAAAGTTTCTGTGTCTGAGTCTAATGTCCTCCTGGATGAAGAGGTTCTTACTGATCCAAAAATTCAAGCCCTGCTGCTTACTGTCCTTGTAAGCACACTTTTCCCGTATTATGCTGTGTTTTTAAATGCACTACTTCTTTAAAACCGGCATGTATGTTTCAGTGCAATGCTAGTAGGGCTTGATTGATAAGGGTCTGTCCCTGATGGGTAAAAAGTATTCTGTTTTGCCCACTAATATCTAGGATATCCAAGAGACTTGCATATTCAGTAATCATAGACAGGCAAATATTCAATGTTTTTATGCCCCTTTTTTGCAGAGCACATCAGTATGTGCATTACTTTTTTTTTTAACAAAAACATCATAAATTGCTGGAACTAACTCAATTGGAGTTTTAAACTTACCTGAGCACAGTGACTGAGGGTTGCAGTATAAATTTCTTTAAATATTCTCCTAGCCCGCTCCAATGCACTCCCCGTCACTGTCATGTTTAATCTGAATTTCTTTGTTGTTACTGAAACACTTTGAAGTTTGTATAAATTGCTAAACTTACATTTTTTTAAAAAAATAAGTGGGATTTGACGACAACTTTTCTCACCAAAAGAGGGAATGTATTCACTAAAAATTTTGCCAGATTTTAAAATGTTGACCAACTCTATTTATTGTAAGTCTCCTTTGTGCACATGAAATAGTTAAATTGTCCTTAAAAAAAGCCCACCCTTAATGTCATATGCTAGTGTTCCTTTTTTGGCAATCAAGTGCTGCTAGCGATAATCTAGTGTCATGTCTTGATAATTAAGCACAAATGTTCGCCTCCCAAATTAGAGAGACTGATTTTTGTCCTTTGTGTTATTCCAGGCAACGTTAGTAAAGTACACTACAGATGAATTTGACCAACGAATTCTTTATGAATATTTAGCAGAAGCCAGTGTCGTCTTCCCAAAGGTCTTTCCTGTTGTGTAAGTGATTAAAACTCTGTGTATATCATAATCTTCATAATAAGCTTGCTGCTTTACACTTGCATAAAGTAACTTCTGGAATGGCAATTGGGTTGCGCAACATTTTTCACCCCAGGTTGCTAGTTCAGATTGTAAGAATTGACGGCTGTTATCATTAGAAGCTATTTGGTGGCCTATGTGAAATGAGTTTGGTGTTCTTGGTGGTAGAGGTAGGGCCAGACTGAGGCATGGGTGAGCTGGGCAGCTGCCCAGGGCGCCAACCTATGCAGGGGTGCCTGATGGCAGCTGTAAGGAGTGCGCGGCATCCCTTATAGCTGCCAT